GAAAGAATGTGGAGAAATAGGAATGCTTTAACACTGCTTGTGGGAGTGTAAATTAGTTCAACCATTGTGGAAGACAGTGTGGCAATTCCTCAAGGATCTAGAACTAGAAACACTATTTGACCCAGCAATCCCATTACTGGGTATATACCCAAAGGATTATAAATCATTCTACTATAAAGACACATGCACATGTATATTTACTGCGGCACTGTTCACAATAGCAAAGACTTGGAACCAACCCTAGTGTCCATCAGTGATGGACTGGATAAAGAAAATGTGGTGCATATATACCATGGAATACAATGCGGCCATAAGAAAGGATGAGTTTGTGTCCTTTGCAGGGACATGGATGAAGCTGGAAACCATTCTCAGCAAACTAACAGAAGAACAGAAAACCAAACACCTCATGTTCTTACTCATAAGTGGGAGTTGAACAATGAGAACACATGTACACAGGGAAGGGAACATCACATACCAGGGTCTCCTGGGGGTTAGGGGGTAAGGAAGGGATAGCATTAGGAGAAACACGTAATGTAGATGATGGGTTGGTGGGTGCAGCAAAGCACCATGGCATGTGTATACCTATGTAACAAACCTGTACATTCTGCACATGTACCCCAGAACTTAAAGTATAATAAAAAAAAGAAATCTAAATTATTATTGTGATCATAAGTTTAATAGAATGTACATGCATTTGTTAGTCTTTTGAAACTCGGTCTCTCACTTTGAAAATTTTCATATTTCACATGAATTCTGATTATGTCACTGAATTTTCTTTTTCCTAATCCTACTCTTTAATGCTATTCTTCCTCATCAGCATCTCTAAAAACAAAATTGTCTGCATGCCCAGTCTTCTATCCCCAAGTTTTCAACTGGCCCCGTGATCCTGGCTGCAAACGTCATGATGTGGCTTTTGATGGAAGTAAAAATGGCTTTACATAGATGGGTCCCCTCTTTAGCAAAATCCATCCTTAGTACCACATACGGAGAATAGGAAAGTGCCTAATGTACTAGACAGGAGTGAGACGGCCCTTCCTCGAGATGGAATATATCACCAATCCCTAAGGGACAATTTCTGTTGTATTCAAAATGAATATAGTGAACAAGTATAAGATTTCCATATATAATTCATAATTCTTATATTTTAAGTGGAGCAAAATAAATACTTTTTGGAACTGGCTGACATTTAAGGCAGCAAAAAACAACAGCACAAAACACAACACAACAGCAACTGCTCCACTGGTGAAATACTCTCATTTCAGATGAGCACTTTTGTCCAGTTCAGACACTGGCTTCAGGACACCTATGTGAAACAAATTGGCTTACAGGTATAACATTTAGCTCTGCCAAGATCTCTAAAAGCAAAGAAACCTGCTTTTGCCCATGACGTGCCCCTGCTCTGCAATTCAGAGTATCGAGTGAGAATCAAATACGTGCTAGCACGGCACTTGTTTTTATATGATGAAATAGTCAGAATTCGTTGTCCAAATAGCATGCAATTACACAGCAGAGTCAAATCTCAAGGTACTTTATAGTAATTAATATCAATACACATAAATAATTGCTATGAAATAACTAGGAAAAATATTGCAAAAATGAAAATGAGGATTTTTCTTCTTTCTAAAAACTACAATATGATAGAAGTACAGCAAGCCAATAACTCTAAGCAAAGACTGAGACGTGAACACCTCTAGAAACCCAGTTCACTCATTAATCTCAGAAGAATGACATGATGCAATATTGTTACATAACCCTAGTTTCTTACAGCCTGGATTTTTTTAAAGACCCTCGAGAATAATCCATGATCTCCATTGCACTCCTCATTTTATCTAGGTCAAGTTTCATTTATTAGTTGATTTTCCATTTGAGGGAGAACAGAGGCAGAAAAATAGCATGAATAAAGCTGACCAGACTTCTCACTAGTTAAGACAATGTCAGAACTAAAAGGAAAAGTGGAAATCACTTAAACGGCTCCACTACCATCTACTTGTTTCAAAGACAAGAAAGTGGGGGCACCAATTTCGTACTGATTTGTAGAAATGAGGCCCCAAGACTACCTATTGGTTGAAGTTTTCAAATACAATGCAGCTAAACTGTTCCCTAGGGATAACTCATTTGCTTATTGAGACTAAGAGGAGTAATGCAGTTACTTATTAAGAAGAGGAAATATTTGTCCATCACAACTATATAAATATTTACTGATAGGTCAGCAAATACATGTACTGCAAATGTATGTACCATATCTTTTCTTTCCTTATGATCAGAGAGAAATTCAGCTTTATTTGTGCCTTCAGAAGGCACAGACCTTTGGGACAGGACTTTAGTGATTCATTTCTTATAAAACTCAAAAGGTCTTTCGGATAACTTTGGAGGAAAAAAGAGTTTCCACCTTGGCAAAGTCAACTTTTTCTTTTAATACGTGTGCCTTTCTATGTTTCCCAAGGCGACTAATAAGATATATCCACCCGGATTTATGAAATGTTTTCTGCTTGAGAGAGAACAGGAATGTCTAGTGTTCTCTAAGGCATTTAGAAACTAATATGAAATGGTGGGAAATGGGAAGTTAATTGTTTCTGACAGTGATTTAGAGAATATTTAGTTTCCTAGAAAGGAGGGTGAGTGTTATTTATTTTTATTTTAAGCAATCACTTGGAACACATATTAGATCTTCGTCCTTTTGCATTGCACATAGCTTTGTTCAAAAAATTCTTGATGAATGCCTAAAGATGTATTTTAAAAATCTGTAAAATTTTGGGCAGGAGTAGAACATTCATTGATTTTAGATAAAGTTAAAAAATCACTAAGCATTTTGTCATATAACTACTTCTATTTAATAATCCTTACTTTAAAAAATAAAAATATCTTCTAGAGAATAAATATTTTAATAAATTAATTTCTTTTCTTTTCTTTTTTTCTGCCTCAGCCTCCCAAGTAGCTGGGACTATAGGCGCATGCCACCATGCCCAGCTAATTTTTTTGTATTTTTAGTAGAGATGGGGTTTCACCTTTTTGTGAGGATGGTCTCGATCTCTTGACCTTGTGATCTGCCTGCTTCAGCCTCCCAAAATGCTGGGATTACAGGCGTAAGCCACCTCGCCTGGCCCAATCAATTTCTAATAGATTTTATTTATAGAGGCTTTTGAGGTTCACAGGAAAACTGAGCAGAAGGAACAGATATTTCTCACATGCCTCCTATCCCACATACACCCAGTGTACTCACTGTCAAAATCACAAGTCACACATGAGACTTTTGACCATAGATAAAAACAAATTTTATACTAACCGATTCCCTTTATTCATTTTCATTGAGCTTTAACTTTTGGAATCATTTTCTCTGTGATTCAATAAGAGAGAGTTTCACATACTGCACCCATTTAAGAGAAAAAAAGAAAGAGTAAATTGATGTTGGACCTCAATGAATAAATTTTCAAAAGAAAACTATGCCTTTAAAAAAAGGGACAAGAAATGAGTAACACAACATGAATAAAAATAGTGAATTACTAATTTTAAAAGTCCTGAATTTTGGCTTGTACCAGTCATGATGGAGAGACCTGATAAAGGTCATTCTACACATTTTTTTTTTTTTTTTTAAATTTGAAATAGAGTCTAGCTCTGTCATGCAGGCTGGAGTGCAGTGTCACACTCTCAGCTCACTGCAACCTCCACCTCCCAGGCTCAAGAGAGTCTCATGCCTCAGCCTCCCAAGTAACTGGGACTATAAGCACGGGTCATCACACCCAACTAATTTAGTAGAGACAAGGTTTTACCATATTGGCCAGGCTTGTCTCCAAATCCTGACCTCAAGTGATCTGCCCACCTCAGCCCCTGAAAGTCTACACATTCTTTTCATATTTCCCTTTAAAGTCAGAGAATATACAAGACATCAAAAGAGTGTAGGAGACAACAGACCAATAGGGAGAATACTAAACTAACATTAAAACTTGTCTTTTTTTGTTGCAGAGAGCTACATTTTAGAAGTGAAGAAGGCACTTGTGGGCTCACAATTCTTTGACTGGAATTCCATTTCCAGTTGTCTTGGGATTTGATCATTTTGGTTGTTAGACTTTCTACATCTTTCCCATGTAATTCCCTTCGATGCAGTTTGGGCAACTATTTTTCCTCGAGTTTTTGCACACAACTCTATTCTGTAGATATTATGTGCAGTGAGAAAAGAGAAAATAAATCTAACTCTCCCTTGGCAGATCTCTGATGCCTTTTAATTCTAACCTTGCTATAGCTAGACGATTTATGATTTCTTAGAGCTGTCCCTGTTTGGTTGGAAAAATATACCTCACCTCAAAAATATATTTTATTGTTGTTACTATCATATCTATTACAAAACATCCTATCTCACATGAGCTGCTGAGTCACTTGTTCTTAACTAAGAGATGAAAGCCATAGAACTGATTTTAAAATGCTGTGTTCAAAAAAAAAAAGTCAAATGGCACAGTAGAAATCACCAGGGTGTATATAATAGCTTGACAGTCTCTTTTCATACCTTCCTTCAAATAAATGAAGTACTACCTGTAAATCCTTTTTTTTTCTGATAATTTTTAAAGCTGAAAAAGTATCACTTACCTGATTAAAGAAATCTAAAGCATTCATCCAAGTATTGGTTCATCAGCAATCAGTGAGACATAACCAACAGATACCAAATATGTTGGAAGATATCACTTGATTAGTAATTTCCTATTTAATAGGACATATTAATTTCAAGCACCCATCACATCATTGTTCGATGGAACCACTTGACCTTTGTTTTCCCACCACTTCCCCTCGTATTGTTAGTGGAGTGTGCTGTGGAAAGGTGTCTAGGGAATCAGTACAAATGCACATGAGTTAGGATCCAAAGTACTGTGTTGGGAAGGAACATTCTAGTACCACAGTCATAGGGAAATTAACCTTTATAAGGGATAAGAAGGTCAGAATGCAGCACATTTCACAAGACACCTTTGCTATTATTCATTTGTTCTTATTAAAAAGAGAGGAAAATGCATTACACTGACTTCTTCCTGCTCCGAAACCTCGGTCCACTGACAGTGTTGGGAATGGCACAGGCCGGAGAGTGAACTGCGGGTGGGGATATCCACAGGTGGGAGACGGGAGGATTCCTGGGTACTGGGCACTTTCTAGGGTCGGCACAGGGATGGCACTCACAACAGCTGCAAAAGAAAAAGGTTAATGGGCTTTTTGAATCTTATGTATTCACTCAACAAGCAAAAAGAAAATGGTGGAATTTTCAGATCCTCAAATCTATACACACTCTTCATAGTATCAAGTAGGTTCCCTCACTTACCTCTCTCCACCAATCCCACTTTTTACTTTAGAAAAGACAGCTCACCCCTCAAGCATCATACTATGAAATATTACCCTGCAGTTTAAAACATTCCAGGGCTCCAAACAAAGAAACAGTTAATCAAGTTTCCATAAATCCACTTTAACATTTTATTTCGGTCATGCTGTTTGTTTGTCCTAGTCTTAGGCTTTCTTCTAAGGATGAACTATGGCATTAGAAAGGTTAGGTTGTTCACAAATCAAATATATTGTATACAGTGGGCTGAAAAAGTGTTGGGAATTTTCCATTAATTCTGTAAAAGAATGTATTGCTCTTGAGGGACAGTCCAGAAACAGAGAGAGAGAAGCAAGGTATTGTCTCAATGGTCATACTTAGGATTTATCTTTAAATAGAAAATATCTTCAAATACCCAAATCAGTGCAGGTGAGTGACATATTAAGTGTAACTGAATGTTTTTCAGGAATATCAACATTTTTTAGTTATACTGGCTGAAACCCACAGATAAAAAACATACACAATATCTTCTAGGTTTAGAAAGTATTGTTCAATTTCATTATTCAATAGCTATTCAATTATATATTATTAAATATTCCAATTGTAGTCAATCTTTATCTTACATTATCTTATAAAATGTTTAGTATTCCCTATCTTTTATCATGCCAAAACAAAATTTAAGTCAGCTACCTGAATGATCAGTTTTAGCTGTATATTCCTGTCTATGAAATTAATAAAATAATTTGTTATTTATTTAGATGATAATGCCAGTAACTGGAGTTTAACATACATATACGTGCATGCACATTTACCAAATGAAAATCTTTTCCTTTGTCATGTTTCTCATTTTATAACTTACAATCGTAGATACAAATTACACTGCATATTGTAAATCAATGAGAAACAACATATAGATTTCTTTTAAATTCTAACTTAAAATCCAGATTAAATATATAAAAGATACAAGATTTTAAAAGGGCTGCTTCTAGTAAACTGGCTATTAAAATTATATACCAGAATTTATTTTTCAGTATATTTATAATATTTCTTAAAATATATATGAACATGTTTACTTGAACTGAAAAATGAAGTCAGACTGTTTCAGATATAAAGTATTTTGATGGACTGATTTGACAACAAAGAGTGATTCTGCTAATCAGATTAAATGATGAGTATTTCCTATAAATTGAATAAAAATATAAATCACTTAAATCATTTAAACAAAAATTGCTTTAGTGAACATCTAAGTGATATTTCAATTTTCCTAATCTTGTCTTTATTTTTCAGTAAAAAATTGTTGAATTTTATTGGGTTTTTGTTCTATCACAAATTCAAATTATTGCTTTGGAGTGTAGTGTGATGACATTAATATAATTTTTTTAAAAAAATATGTGTCACTGTGTATATTAGAAGTTTATGACATGATGTTATGAGACACATAGATAAATGTAGATAGTAGGTTGGTTACCATAGTGAAGCAGATTAACATATCTATCATCTCACAGTTACTTTTGTGACAAAGTAACAAAGTAACTAAAATTTACATATTTAACAAAAATCCCTAATACAATACAGTTGTATTAACTTCAGTTCTCGTGCTGTAGATTAGGTCTCTAGACTTGTTTATCTCATATGTCTGCTATTTTGTATTCTTTGGTCTACATCTCCCCATTTCCTCTCCCCATTCCACCTGTAGGAACCACTCCTTCATTCTCTATCTCTGTGTATTTGAGCTTATATATGTATTATTTCACATATATATTTCACATATGAGATTGTTAAGAGGTTCATACTACCCAAAGCAATATGCAGATTTAACACAATCCCTATCAAAATTCTAATGGAATTCTTCACAGAGATAGAAATAATCTTAAAATTTATTTGAAACCATAACAAATATTGAATAACCAAAGCAATACTGAGAAAGAAAAACAAAGTTGGATGCCCTCCACTTCCTGATTAGAAATTATGTTAAAAAGCTACGGTAATCAAAACAGCATGGTACTGGCATAAAACAGAAGTGTAGATCAATGGAACAGAATAGAGAGCCCAGAAATAAATGCAAACATATATGGACAATTAGTTTCAACAAGAGCACAAAGAAGACACTATGGGGAAAGAATATTATCTTCCATGAATGGTGCTGGGGGAATGACTTTGACATTCAAAATAATGAAATTGGACCCTTATCTCACACCATATAGAAAAATTAACTCAAAATGGACAAAATACCTATATGTATGACCCAAAAGGTAATGCCTAAGAGAGAGCATAGGGGAACAGCTCCTTGACTTTGGTCTTGTTTATGATCTTTTTAGATTTCACACCAAAAGCTTGGCTTCAAAAACAAAAATAAATACATGAAACTGCACCAGACTAAAAAGCTTCTGCACAGCAAAGGAAATAATCACCAAAAGGAAAAGGCAACCTAATCTTGTCTTTATATATTGTTACACAAAGTGCTTCTCTGTGAAAACAACTTTCAAGTTTATTTTAAAATTACTTGATAAATTTTGGTACAGCTTTTTATTGTGAAGCTCCTAGAAAACAAGAAAGTAAATAACTTGAATGAGTAACAAATACTTCTGCAAGTGAGGTGGTTTCTAACATTTTCATTTAGAGCACAATTGAAGGAGAATCTCAGGTAGTTGTTAGTTGAAAAATTATCAAAAATAACAGAATGAGAAGTCACAATGTGATTTTGGCATGTAATTTGGGAGAAGTTCAAATTGTTCAGTGATTGCTATAAAGATCTCATTGTTATAGTACTCATTCATGTACATATACACACTATTTTTTATATATATGCAAACATATACAAAGGTTTCACAGTGTTTAGATCAATAAAAAGCACACTGGGCCGGGCGCGGTGGCTCAAGCCTGTAATCCCAGCACTTTGGGAGGCCGAGGCGGGTGGATCACGAGGTCAGGAGATCGAGACTATCCTGGCTAACATGGTGAAACCCCGTCTCTACTAAAAATACAAAAAACTAGCCGGGCGTGATGGCGGGCGCCTGTAGTCCCAGCTACTTGGGAGGCTGAGGCGGGAGAATGGCGTGAACCCGGGAGGCGGAGCTTGCAGTGAGCCGAGATCACGCCACTGCACTCCAGCCTGGGTGACAGAGCGAGACTCCGTCTCAAAAAAAAAATAAAAAAAAAATAAAAAAAAAAATAAATAAAAAGCACACTGGACTCGAGTTAATGCAATAAGCAACATTCATACATGGGTATATGCAATTAATGTACAAAAAGCCCCATTCATGTCATTAAGTGATAACACTCCAATAAAATTTTACTCTATATGCCATTGTAGAGAAACACTAATTGTAATGTTAAGATCCACAGGAAAAGGCTGGGCGTGGTGGCTCAAGCCTGTAATCCCAGTACTTTGGGAGGCCGAGACGGGCGGATCACGAGATCAGGAGATCGAGACCATCCTGGCTAACACGGTGAAACCCCGTCTCTACTAAAAAATACAAAAAACTAGCCGGGCGAGGTGGCGGGCGCCTGTAGTCCCAGCTACTCGGGAGGCTGAGGCAGGAGAATGGCGTAAACCTGGGATGCGGAGCTTGCAGTGAGCTGAGATCCGGCCACTGCACTCCAGCCTGGGCGACAGAGGGAGACTCTGTCTCAAAAAAAAAAAAAAAGAAAAAGAAAAGATCCACAGGAAAGAACATTAACAATTAACTGGAAATACAAACATAAAATAAAATTTTGGTTTATATAAATTTTATGCTGCAAAATGTAAGATATATAATCAATAAAAGACCTGCAAACATAAAAATATATCATGTTTGTATGTTAATCTGTGGGGAAAATAAATTGTAGATTCTAGTTCAAGGAGAAAAATGAGTGATGTTAACTTCTATCTGTTAAGGCTCACATATTTTTTAAGGGGATGATATTGGTATCAAAGTACTATGGTATTTTTATGCTTTTAGATTGGTTTAAAAGTATGTTATATCAGAAAAATTTCATCTTTCACAGGTTTTTAATGTATAACAAAATATTTTAAGTGTCAAATTTTAAATATATGAGGGGATACATAGTTTTTCTAAATTATTTTAGAGAAGACATGAATGAACATTTGAGAGTAAGTGGTACAAAGCACAATGCCTCAATAAAGATATTTTATAAAAAGCACATTATGGATATATAAACACATAAACAGGCTCCAGAAAAAGGGAAATTTTTAAAATGACAAGGAAACTTTCAAAAAGAATCAGAGATTCAAACCAGATACCAGCCGAAATGTTATAAACTCCTTAAAGAAATAAGTTATAATTTTGTTGTCTTTGTGTCTTTTCTAGTACAGTGCTACAGATACTTCATATTTTTCAAGTGAGTTAATATGAAGGATTTTCTAGGAGTATTATTTAGAAATCTGTCATTTTAACACACTGGAGACTTTCAGAGTGACTTGACGTATGATTTAGTCTCCTGGGGTATATAGTTACTATAACTATAATAATAATAATAATAATAATAATAATAATAATGTAGTTGAACACATTTGTAAATATAAGCCATACAAGAGCATAAAGTCTATTTTTAAACAATTCAAATTCTCAGACTCTGAGGCAGTCAACTGAATTATTTCACCTGTCTTACTCATCAAATGGATCACTGCAGTCATTAAAGTGGATTGCTAGATTGCAAAGCATTCCTGATATTGATAATTTTTACTCATAAATGTGACAATGTTAGTCTCCTTCAGATATAGAAGATACTCATTCCACAAATTATGCACACTATATTTTCTTATCAAAATGATTATAATACAAACAATAATATTATTAACAAATATTTCACAATACGTTTAGAAAGAGTTTCATAAGTATCTTCTGATTCGGAGCCAAACAAATTTGGAGA